GTTTTTGCTGGCCGTGTTTAGATTTCTGTTTTATTTTTCCATTTTCTACTTTAACATTAGATGATGTTTCCTGCCTCCCTGCTATGAATGACATTTTGTTACTAATGGTTTAAAACAAAGTAAGAACGATTACCTTTTTGAACTGTCTAAGTTGATAGTCTGCTATTACCGGTACCATTTACTATGAATTGCTTGGTTGTCTGGTTAATATAACTAAAGTAGGTTAAGGTAAAAAAAAATAAACAATTGCAGCCTAAAAATCAGCCACTTCCTATCCCCCACTGAGTTCTTAGTGGTTATGTAACTGTAATGTGTTGTCATATCACAGTACCAAGAAGAGTGTTTTGAAATGTTGAATAATTTGCCCCAGTTTCCAGACCAACACCATTGTTATATTAGTGAACGAACTTCATTTATTTTATTTTAACTGTTTTTATTTCTCCTTTATCTATACAGCTACTGAGTCATAAAGTCTTATGTTCAGAGCAATTTAAGCACATTTGTTTTAGGACAAACATTAATGCAGCACTGATATTTGTCCTATATATAGTATTTGAAGCTGGATTTATCTCTAAAAAGCTTTTTTTCTGTGAATAAACATAATGGGGACATTAAATTATTGGGATGACGCAGTTATATCGCAATTAAAGTGTGAATATATTCTGCCACCATTAGCTGTAAAGACATCCTATAATGTCAGCGTGTTAGAGAGTTTTCACAGTGAATGTGCAGGTGTTTATTTGACCCCTGAATTGTTAAGTGATCATAATTTGTTTTAAATATTCTAAAGCCTTGTTTTTATTATTTGCAAAAAGGTTCAAGCAACCTTGCTGACAATGAACTGTAACAAAAAAATTGGGAGTGTATAATTTCCAGTCGTTCACCTTTGTTTTTACATGCTGAAACTGTGAAGCCATATTGTGATTGAAAGTTTAATAAATGCTTTAATCACATCTAGGTTTGTGTAAATTCACCAAGAACCAATTCTTTGTTAACTCTGTGTATTTTTGAACTGAAAGGATTGTTGTTCTTACTGTAGTTTGCTATCTAAACTCCTGTAGGACCATAAATGTGCATATACTTATAGATGTAAAAATTTTTTGAAGATGCAACCAGATAAAGGAATTGTGAAATAAACACTGAAACAAACCCATGAAGGAATTATGGTTTATCTTAAATATGTTATTAAAATAGAGGGAAAATAAAACAATAAAATAGATACTTACCGGTAAATCAGCATATTGATTATATGGTTTGGTAGCATTTTCCATTATGTTGTTTCTAGGTTGTTTAAGAAATCAATGAAGAAATTAACTGCATAACAAATTTACAGCTTAATCTGGTACCATGTAGTGACAACATTACAAAGACAAAAACAAGTTGGCTGCCAATAATACAATTAAGACTGATAAAAACCATATAAAGATGGATATTAAACTGATTTTGCTGAAGGATAATAACATAAAAATTACCCTACACTAAGTGAAAGACATGTATATTATCAGTATTTGATCTTGCAGATATTGTGTGTGTGCACAAATGCATGCAAGGAAGCACACAAATACACCAATCACAAGACTCTTATCTTTAATAGTGTTCATTGTATACAGTAGTAAAGCAAGACTGGAATTAGAGAACTTACTTAATGAGCAGATTGTTGCATGCAATATTTAAGGAAATCTGTAACCAGTATTCTTCATCATTACTTTTGAGGATTTTGAAAAAAATATTTTGATTTGATTTTTAAATGACAAGGAAGACAACAAAACTGCATGAAATCATATCTACCGTCACGGTACAGTAGTAAAAACTGCTAATCTAATCCTTTGTATCAAGAATTTCAAGTCCTTATTCACTTATTTTGCTCTTTAACTGCTTCTTTTGTTATGTGCATGGACTTTAGTCATTTTGCCCCCTGTTGCGTTTTAGATAACTGAAATATTGCTCTTGGCGCTAAACAAAAAAAATAAACTCCCAATCAAGCATTTTACTGCAAAGCAGCATCCTAACAATATAAGAATATCCTAGACTTGAGCAGGTATCCAAGCTTATCTGGTGTCAAGCATGTTTCACCTGTTTTCAATGCCAGTACTATGTGCCAGAACATGCTTGCCAATATGTCCTCAGTTGCATATCTTCTGTTAAATGATAAAGGCTAAGAAACTGTATAATATCATTTTTTTACGCTACAGTTGTCTCTTGAATTTATTTCATAATAGTATCTTTTGCAGACATAAAACATAGGGATAGTGGGTTGACCTAATTTTAGTGTCTAAATCATTGAGTGAAGCCATATGACACAACAGTGTCATATATAGCGGCCACTGGCCCTTTTATACTGCGAGTCCTATAAATATTATTCCATTTAACTAGAGATGACGTTCCAGTTAGCCATCCTGAAGCTGCAGGAAGGAGGCAGCATCGTATTTTAAAACATGCCACATAGAGGCTGTTAACAATATGATCCTAAGAGTGAACCTCCTATAAAACTGGTAAAGGTCATGCATTACCTCATAACTTCTCATACTCACATGAAAAAGAATATTACAGTCAAAGTTCAAACACGCCTTGCAAACGTATACTTATACTATCTTCACCTTTGTCAGTTTTTTCACACGTAACCAGCGATTGTTCATGATTTGATTGGGAATGAATACAATGAAATAATTACATAAGCACGATTAGAAAGTGGAAGGAACTTTTTGTGGTTTGATGAGATTTTTTTTCCCTAAGAGGTCCTAGGAGCATTTGTATTTAGTTTCTCTAAGTTGAAGAATTGTAGATCTACCTTTTATTGAAAAAAAAAACAAAAAAAACAGCAACAGCTTTTTCTGGGAACTATTGTGCAAACTCAACAGATGAAATACAAGTTTAACCAGGTCATTATCTCTCCCTCCTAATATTCCTCAGCCCATGGCTTCTTGCCTCTGTTTGTTTAGGGTTTTTTTTTTGTCTTCACCTCCTTTATTTAGTTTTTTTGTGTTTAATTATAAAATATTCAAGAAGTGAAACACACAGAACCCTGAAAACATGCACAAAAAAAAGGTCACCAATCACTTCACAAAAACATAACCTTTGGTGAATCCTAACTGACACTATAGGCAGCACTTTACAACAGGTTGTTTTGTTTTGTTTTGTTTTTATTTACCCTGTTAACATACCTGTACCTCACCCTCAGTTATACCTCCCTGTCTAGTGTTGACTTATACTATTCTGTTTTTTTTTATTCAAGTTTTTTCTTTTACCTTTAATAAAAACAATATACACTCTTTTTTTTTTTACCTGAGCACATCGAGCATTGACAGTAGTAACGTATAACCAAACCTTGATTTCAGCAAGGATCAGCTCACTCTATGCTGTTATAAGGTTCAGTGAGGGTAAAATGATTTCTTTTTTATTCCATTTTAATAGTGTTTACATAGATTACTCTGTCTAATTTGAACCAGAACTGCATTTAAGATGAAGTCTGGTTTTATTTTAGGAACAGTCTTTGCAATTTTGACCCTCCCCACCCCCACCTCAGCCGCCCACACACAGACACAATCCAACATACACAAACACACACCGACACACATGCAAACATCCTTGACTCATCTTCCTGATCCAACCAGAGAATTTATATTCTCCCTCCAGCATAAGGAAGGACCATCTTGGCCTTTCATTTTCCAGTTCAGGGCGTTTCCTTTTTTTTTTTTTTTTTTTTTGCAGATAAATGCTTTCCAATCCACCCTGACAGATGTCACATTGCATCACTTCCATTTTTTATACATAGCCTTTGATCCTGCCACTTGCAATAAGGAGCTAGTGCCAGGGACGTCCCTCCTTGGACAAGGGCTCTGACATGTGTGATTATTTTAAAGGTGCATCACTGTTGGTGCTGAGACAAAAAAAAAAAAAACAACCCTGCTGGACGCAATGCCTGTCAAGAGATTGCTACAGCCCTGCACAGTGTGTAGTAATTATAGATGGACATGGTCAATACCACTAGTTGCGATTTATTCCGCTCGCCTCCTCTTCACAGCAGAGGTTGTTGGTTCAGTCCCTCACTCAGTCTCTCCACTGTGACTTCACGGGTCAGAGTTGGAGAAACAGTCTGTATAAAGAAAATGACTTTAGTACTTCCTGCTTCTGGCAGAAACACAATGCCAGAGCATTAATCATACAGTGCCAGAGCACATCAGTAAACACGGGTGTCAAGTCAAGGTAAAGATCAGATCCCACAGCATTTAACAGGACTCAATAGCATAAAGGCAATCTATTGAACAGTCAGCGTTATTCATGGCTTGTCTCCCAGACTTCTACACTCCCTGAAGAGACGCACTATTGTTCACTGAAGAGCGCGTTGAAATATTTCTCTGGCTACACAAAAAAACTCTGGATCAGCAGCAATTAGTAGGGTAAGACAGAGATAAAGGGAGGAAGAGAGGAAAAAGAAATGAGAGGCAAAAATGTGGAATCAGCGAGAGGAAAAAGGGAAATCATGGAAAGAAAGCAAGGGAAGAGATGGCTGAATAGGAAAAGTAGAAGAAGGAGAGGAGTTGTATTTTCCAGTCAGTATAGATAAGTGTGTAGGAAGATAGAGCAGCCTGAAGCCCCCTTTGCTTTTTACATGACCAAAGACTCTATCATTGTCTTGGGTCTGACTCTCATGTACATGTGCATCAGAAAAGTCTTCATTACTATTATTTATTTTTTCATTCTTTCAACTTATTACCTTACCCTCTTACCAGCTCATGTCTCCTTATAGGACCAGATCCACTTATATTAGATATTGATCAGTGTTGGAAAATAAATAACAGTATGACTTAAAGCCGACTTTGTCTAAATGAATAAAATGGCTTTGCTGCTGTACGTGTGAAAGTATTAAATATATTTGTTTGTTCTTGTGCTAAATTTGTTTTAGTGTAATGACAGTGTTTTCCATTATCAGAAGGCTCTGTAATTGGTTTCATAATTGAGGTTAGATAGAATGTAACCTTTTGTCTCTTCCTTTGTTTCAGAAGACAGGAAGTTGTTTGTTGGGATGCTGAATAAACAGCAGACCGAGGAGGATGTCTATCGTCTCTTTGAGCCCTACGGAGTCATCGAAGAGTGCACAGTCCTAAGAGGTCCTGACGGAAACAGCAAAGGTAGGTGCCAGGATGCGACTGTCAACTTTATTTAGGTCAATGATAGAGAATCAACTGTGTGCATTTTTATTTCTTGTGTGAGTCTGTGTGTGAGCCAGGGTGTCTGTGTCTTGAGATCATGCAAATTACAGATGGCATGCAGTTCAAATATAGGTCAAGCAGCCTGTTCGCCTAATTTGGCATTTTGATTGGTACGCTTTGTGATGTGTGAGAAAGTCATGAGCTGTGAGGAAAGAAGAGACTCCTGCTTGACTTTAACTGTTAAAAAATCATAGAACAGCTACTCATAAGCATAATCCCACAAACATCCCACAGGATGATGCTGCCACTACCATGTTTTACTGTCACTGCATGAAAAGTGAGATTTCCGTCCCCGTAAACCCCCGTAAACTCCCGCAGATCTGCTTGATTTTCGTCAGTTTCCGACAATTTGCAACCCGTGCTTGTCCGCGTTTGTCGTGCCACAAATTGTCGGAAACGTACCATGACGTATGTGGAGAGCAATCAGCTGTACTAATGGCCCTAATTAGCATATGAATGCAGCAAACCCGCGCGGCTGGCCAGGTCTGGCTTGAATAACCCACTCAGTATTGGCTGAAACCACTATTCTCAAACAAATGAAATCGCTCGTGATTGGCAGCAAAACCACACGTGGCCACGCCAGGCTTTAATTTTCTTACTGAGTATTGGACGGAACCACTTCTTTTTAAACAAGTAAAGTCGCTCGTGATTGGTTGGCATATATATATATTTACATATATATATTTATTCATATATATATATATATATATATATATATATATATATATATATATATATATATATATATATATATATATATATATATATATATATATATATATATATATATATATTCATATATTTATTCATTCATATGGTGTGTATTTATGTTATCCTACACTACTACACAATTATTATGCTACCATCAAGGACATGAATGAATTTATACAGGAAATGAAGATTTGCCAGGAAGCTGTTTATGCAAAGAAAGAGCTTTATTAAAACACACACAACTATATACAACGCATATCCAAACACATGCGTTTCTAAAAATTAAAACTCCGTGAACGGTCCGTTTGCTTCCTCGGGGTTGGAGGTAACAGGCAGCATTCCCTCCGAGGAAGGTCCGATGTGCAGACGCCTACTGTGCGTGGCCCTGTACTTCGGCATCGCTTCTAACCGGGACTGCAGCTTAACACAGAGTTCAGAGGGATCCGGCCTACGAAATGGCGGCGACCGTACAATCCATCCAGAGACACCGCCGAGGAAGGCGGACTTCCAGAGTTCCACTTCCTCATCTGCTAGCACACTCTGCCTCGCTTTCAGCAGCTGAAAAAAAAAAACAATGAATCAGTGCACTGCGTATGGACACAACACATCTATTAATGCACCTGAAAAATAGTCACCAAATAAAGTCTTACCCTCTTTCTTCTGGCCCGACTCCGAGCAGATAGCCTCCGCACGCAGCGTGTGGCTGGCTGCGTATATCTGAAGCTCCTGCGTACCGTCTGAAAATACGTCTTACAGGCAGCTGGAAAACAATTAAATGAGAGTGGTATGAATAAAAAATCAAACGCAAGTCACAGTAACAAGGAAGGAGAAAACATTAAAACAAGTCACTTACACACAATGTCGTCTTTATCAACGTCGTGCAAATCTGGACTTGCTGATTATGGCTCAGAGCAGTAGGAGGTCTGTGAAAACAAAATGTAAAGCTATGATCGGTATCCATCCGTATCCATTGCCTTTTACCGCAGAATGAAAGCATATTCTTTAAATCTTACCCTTGCTCTGGTTCATAGCGCCTGCAATTAGTCTCCGAGTTGTGAAGACGGCGTAGGCCTACTGCTTCCTGTAAATCACAAAAAATGCACTTTAATAAAGCTTGTTCTTGCAAGGCTACTATTAGCCGCTATTAGCCGTAGCTCAGGCTAGGCCGCTTTTAGCTTAGCAGGCAGTAATCGAACATATATTTACCGCTAGCATCTCTTCTTTGAGTTCGTCTTGTTCGATGCAGAGTCGCCATCACGTCCAAGAGGAGTTTTACCCCGAAATCCCCCATTCTCCGCTCCAGACCGCCTGCACAAAGCAAATCATACATCCTCCACTGTGGATCCAGCCCCGCCGCTCTGAGTTTCTTGGAGATCGTACAGAGCATGCGCGAGATGAACCAGAGTTTCCGCGGATCAATAAAAATAATTAAAAAATCATTCTTTTTTTTTTTTTTAATCAAGGCCTTAATTGGCACTAAAATTATTTAAATATGTTTATCGAAGTATTTATAATTCTTTATTAAAAATGCTTATAAAAACAATTTCGTCAGATATATTATATCGCTCCAGGCGGAGAAAAAGCTAGAGGATATATATATACGTATATGTGTGTGTGTGTGTGTATGTGTGTGTGTTTACATACATACAGGAGTCATGGAATTCTGCTTGCAGCTCCTTCATATTTCATGTACACTAATAACTTGTGTACATGGTTCTTGTTGATGGCATTAAAATCATTTCAAATAGCATTAAAATAGCATTAAATTAGAGTCACTCATTCCTGTATGAACCCTGTGAGCGCTTAATTTAATATGACATATTAAAAAAATCCCACCATCATCCAGCATATGTTCAGTTTCTGCCCAAATATATATATATATATATTTTTGTAGATTTTTGTAACGTGGATAAGGATAATTCAAAACTGCTTTTTTTTTTAATGAACTTGTTCACTGCTTCCAAACTCAGCATCTCTTTTCATTCCTGTAATAAGAAGTTTCTTTTGACTGGATTTGATTAAAGTTTAAGTCCCTCGGTATAAAATAAATATTTTGATGGAGATGAGAAATCTGCGTCCTCGTTGGTGAATAACCAATAGTTTGGATCCAATCATTTAAATAAACGGTGTTATTTTTTTTTTTTTATATATATATATATATATATATATATAAGAATTGTGCTATAATTTCTAGTCACCGATCTGTTGCTGCTATATTTTAATTTGACGAACCGGAATTTGTCGATGTTCTTTTTCCTGTTTGGTGCGATTGCAATTGCGGATCTTGACCTGGCCGGACCTTATGACCACAGTGTACCAATCTTCTCATGGCTACTTCCAACAGGATAATGCGCCATGTTATAAAGTAAATCATCTCAGACTCATTTCTTGAAACTTTTCCACTTAAGTAATTGTGAATTGAGCATATTGACATACAACATTTTATTTTTTATCTTAAATGCAATTTTTTTTTATTTTATAATTACTGCTCTAAATGTATTGCTCTGTCAGCTAAAGATCTGTTTTGGTCTCTATACTTTAATTAAATAAATCAATTCAAGCTAAAATGTAAGAGGCTATACTGAGCCTGATCTCTTTGTATCAGAGATTTTCTTACCTTTTAGAAAAATGTCACTTGGAGTAAAACCCCCCCTGCAACCCTGATTTGCATTTGTATAGCTCACAGCATGTTCATTTACATGTTAAAGCCTCCCCTAGAATTCCATGGGGGGGAGGCATGGGGGGAACACTGCCTAAGAGAGTCCACGTCAATTTCTGACAATTTACGGGAGTTTTCGGCGAAGCCTGCAAATTGTCGTAAACTGCCGCTAACCTGAAGTTCCACGACAATCTACAGTGCCGCATATTGACGAAAATCCCACTTTTCATGCAGTGTGTGGGAATTGTGTACACACTTCAGAAAGATTTATTACAGCCGAACAACAACTTACCGAATTAACATAACTGGCTTTGGTTTACAATGTATATGGAGTCCAAAAGTACAGCGGTTTCATTGGACTGAAGCATTGCTCTGTGCTGATCATTATAATGTGTAAAAAAGATCTTTAGGGCATGGATATGGCCTCAATGTTTTTATAAGGACAACTGTCAAAACACAAAGGTGAAAAGTACTATAATACTTTCAACAATTCAGCACATCACAGAATTTCAAGAAGCCCTCGAAGACGGGCCTGCTTCAAGTCTGTTCTCAATACAACTATATCGCTAATTCATTTAGAAGGGTGACCATTATTATTATAGAAGCTATAAAGGAATCCTGAATCGCGGTGTCCAATGTGCCGCTACATTTTTGAGACTCCTTTGCTCATCCTAAATATGAACACAGCTTTATAATGAAAATGTCTTCTATTCCTAAAACACGATAGACATTTAGAGACTGTGCCATACTGCAATACAAGTGCAGCTATATCTCTAATTAAATTTTGGAAATTGGCTCGTTAATTCAAAATATAATATAATGTGCAGACCCCGAGTCTTTTTTGTCTTATTATGATTAATTTTTTTTTTTTTAAAGCACTCTTATTTACTACCATAGTTGCAAACAATACCAAAAAGGTGTACTTTGACTTAGTAACTACCATTTAAACTTGGTCCTCTCCAAACCGCTCTCGGTGTGGTTGCCCTGCATGGACACATTAGTGTGTAGGGGTCTAGTCTGTTCTGCCCTTCATAAAGAACTCCAGTGCTTGTATCCGTCATTTATTGACTTTTTCTGTAATTCTCACGCTCTCTGGTCCCCGGTATCATCCAGATATTATGTTATGTTGTTACAAAGAGAGCACAGATGTTTGTTTCAACATCATGAACTAGCACGTTTTGTGATAGAATGCGATAATATGGTATTGTAAAAAGCAATAGTTTCATTAGTTGACAAGATTAGCAATGGATTGGGCAATGGAAAGGACCATAGGCTAAGGCTAAAGTCCTTTAAAAAGGAATTTCATATTCAAATTTTTAACTGTTCGCATCTCTCTTCAACTAAAATCCTTGTCCCAGTTCATCCATCCATCTATTTTCTGTCAGGCTTTATCCAAAGCAGGTCGCGAGGGGCTCTGGTACCTAGACAGGCGGGGTACACCCTGGACAGGTCGCCAGTCTATTGCAGGGCATCTCTCAGTTACTTTTCCAAAATATGGATGCAGGCTGTTTCATTACTTTTCTATTTATATATCAGTGTTTGAAAAAAAAAAAACTGTCAGCACAGAGAAACACACAGGCCAGAATGAGGAGAGCAACAGAAAGATAAAAACTTTAACCTGGTAAGAAGTGGTGAAGACAACTCCTGTTGCCTGTTTCTGAAAGCTTGACTAAAAACTCAGTTTAGTTGCTGACAATGCAGTGCACTTTAAAAATTACTTTAGCTTCAGTAACCATGTACTGTATTTAAATCAGTAACAGTGAATCAGTTGGTTCCAATTGTCTCAAAGTACGATAAACTGGTGACCTGACCAGATTTACTGAGTGCTCCAGCACCTAGAGGACCTAATGAAAGAGCTAAGCTGTTTAAAAATGAATAATTGAACGTCTATAAGGGGAGCAGATTTATTTCTTACTTTTCGTAACATTAGGTTTATACTTGAAGAGCTCAAATATCCAAGTAGTTAAAGGTGCAGTTTGAAGCAGGTTCTCCAACAAGCATAGTGCCACTGTCCTTTGAAGTTAAACCTCTGACATTTGAGGTTCATTTTACATTAAGTCACACCTTAAAATGTTATACTAGTTAATAGCAAATAGCTTAGCAGGTAATATGGTAGTCATAGCGCTTCCCATTTTGCTCCGATTCAAATGTTGCTCTAATAACCCTTTTGGGGTAAAACATGTAAAATATGTTTGACCTGTTTCTACTTACTTTTAGAATAACTGGATGCGCAAAACCATCCTAAATGGTCTTCCAGCATCTTATCTTTTAGCTGTCTGCTGTGGTACAAATAATAAATAAGGTGATCCTCCTGATAATTTAAGTCAAAAGGAACTGTTAATGTATATCATTCACTATACCTTTAATCAGGGGTGTCAAAGTGGTTCCAGAAAGGGCAGGTTTTCTTTCTAACCAAGCAATAGCAGTCCAGACTCCATTCATCTCATCAATGGAGTCTGGACTGCTATTGCTGGGGGTGGGGTGCTTTCTGGAACCAGTTGACACCTGTGCCTTTAATATAAACAGCGCGGATATGTAAATATGTGTGGATATTTATTAGCAACAGCTTTAGTAAAATCTTGTCTTTCTTCAGTGATTTATTTGGAAAATACCAATTTTGGCCCTGCTCAATTTCCTGTTGGTACAGTTTAGCTTTCAGCCACCCCTCAGTACACGTTAGTCCCTACCTGTCCACCTCTATGAAAGTTGTCTGGCTCTGCCACTGTTTAAGAACATGCACAGGTTACCTTTGAGATATAAACACGGAAATAGCTAAATAATTGTATGGCTCCCCCAGTAGATTAGTTTCTTACTTATATTGATATACCAAATGACCCTCATGAAATATTGTCTGGGGAAACCTCTGATGATTATCACACAGCCTTGGTCATTTTATTTACCTCATTCAGTGTTGGTGCTTCTACTATCTTTTGATTAAATTTGATAATATATCAAAATCCATATTTTTAGTTTTGGTGGTAACATATTTACAAATACATTTTTCGGTATTCATTTTTTTAAATCATATTTATTGTGTTTCAGCATGTCGTCTTGCCAATTTTAATACTTGGCATTATACAACATTCCTCCAACACCTTCATTAAAACTACATATGATACAGTCATGTTTAGACCTGATCAGCATTGAATATGAGGTACTTTAGAGAGATGAAGTCCAGGCATAGTGACAGCCATCTCCAGCTCAACAGCAAAAAGACAGAATACACCAGCATTGACTTCCAGAAGTCAAGTACCACACTGCACTGGGGCTTGAGCATCAATGAGGAAGAAGTGTAGCAGGTCACAAGCTTCAAGTTTCTCATACTGCACCTCTCAGTGGAACCAGGCTAGACTGTGAACACCACCCACATTATTAACAAAGCCCAGTAGCATATATTCTTCTTGAAAAAACTGAGGAGGAACAAACTCCCTCAAACTTTGCTGAAACAAATCAGCTCAAAAATGAAGTACTGCAAAAGTTTTCACACTTACTACAGACTCTCCAATAAATAACATACCTTAACTACATCTAACTCACACTGATTTGTTTAAAGGAGAGGCTGCTTAATACCTTTCCTCTTCTCTTTCATCTTCTATAAAAAAGAATCCAGAATATTTTTTTGCAAAAGTTTTCAAACTGTATTAATTATACCTTCTGTCTTTTGATCTTTTATTTAAGCTATACTATAATTACATTTCCATGTCTACCAAAACATTGGATTTTAGACTAAAAAATGAACTGATAGTTTGCTATTTTCTTAAAAACCTTAATCTATTGAATCAAAACGATCTTTGCATGACTTTGAAAACTGGATCTCTTAGATTAGAATGTGATATCAGAGATATAAAAAGAACAATATTTTATACAGAAATGTGTGGTTATTGAAATGTCTGTGTAAAACCTTGTGAAAGATTATTTTTAAAAGATACTCTGATATGACAAACATTCCTCATCAGAACTCCAATTTGTTAAATATGACTATGTATAATAAAATTCATAATTATGTTTTTTTATTTTGAAAATCATTTGATTTAATGTCCTCATCTTGTTCTATTCCATCAACTTCCCAGGCAATAGAGATGAAAATGAGCTTTTATGACTAAATCTGGCACATTTACATGACAGACTGATGCACTTATGTTGATAAATGTAAAATGACATTTTTTTAATGAATAGCATGCAATAATAGAATGAAAACATGTATTAACAGTTTAAATAGATAGTGAATTATCTATTGTTCCAAAATACATCAGATATGTGTTGACATTTACTCTTTGCCTTTTTTATCTTCAGATCATTGTTGCTTATAACAGATTTTGTTTCTCCTAATTGTAACAGCTGCCTTGGCTCAGTTTATTTATTTAGTTTTTTCAGATGATACATTCAAACATCCAGATTACAGCCTTAACTTATCATAAAGAGTATGCAGGCCTTTCTTAATCATAAAAATCTCCCAGAAAACTACACACTAGCCCCACATACAGTAGAATTTAGGTATTTAGAAATTGCTCTTATTCAATGCAAAGTGATGGGCTCTCCTTGGGAAAGGTAAAATGGATTTTGCAGAGAAATAATTTTTTGGGATTTGAAGTCAAAGCAGTTAGACTCCGTAGAGACTTAGCATTAAAGGGAAACACTAATGTAAAAAAAAACTTCAAATGCCTCTAATGTGGTGAAAGGAGAAGCCAAGGAAGGTTGTTTTGTAATATTTAAGATATCACAGCTGTATTTGCCTTTGTTGAATAATTTACTATTATTGTTTTATGATTACTCTATTAGAGCTAGAATAAGTACTAAAGGCAAAAATATTTTATGTCCAAACTGGGCACCTTTGAGAGCAGCTTTTTATGAATAGCTAAATTTGCAGAATTCCAGTAACTTGAAAAAATAAACTGAATTTTTGTTGTTGTTGTTATTAAATATTTTTGTATATTGTCACAGGCACAAGAAAACGCTTATAGGAAATCTGTCTGGCTTTTAACCCCAGTTTATCAGTGTAACCCCATCATTAGGCCGTTCTTAGTCCTCATCTCTGACCGTCTTCCATAGAAGTAAGAGTTGCAATAAAGGGTCACTGGGTCAAGCAGGACAGATGACATGAAGAATAAAGCACAAGATATCAAATAGTAAAAAAAAAATATATATATAGATTCTTCATGTGTTAAAATTAGGTGAAACAACCCAGTGGTCAGCAGCTGATTCTGCTTTGCTGCTTTGGTCATGTTCTGTTTTTATGCACATGCCAGTTCAAATTCAGATAAGGCTTACAAATGTTAATCATCTAACATTTCTACAAGAGTACAATAAAAGCTAGGATTGTGCATGATAATTCATCCAGAATTAATTCCATCAGGACTCGAAGGTGAGAGCCATTTAGAGTGCTTTTAGTCATGGAATCAAACCTGTGGAGTTTCTTTTGAAACACAAAACTGACCTTAGAGATATTATAGAAAAGAATGATATTTCTGTGATGTCAGAACTTTTTCGGTCTGTTTTGGAACTGAATATTTATCAGAACATGTTTTCTAATGGTTTTCTTGTCTGATTCAGTCTTTAAGCCATGAAATAATATGAAGTACCCATGTGAGGCTAAATAGCAAGCTTTTTTGCTTCATCAGTCCAATCTTTGGCCTGCAGTTTCTGCTTGCTTGTCTGCCTGCCTAATGCCCAGAGTAGGGACTCTTGCTGTGCAATGAGAGCCTGTTGTTTCTCAATGATTACTTTAGTGTCAGATAGAGATACAATTCTACATCTTTTTTTTTTCCCTAAGTATCAACATGTGCACATGCTGTATGTGTCCGTGACACATATCTGCTCTTTCTTCCAGGTTGCGCCTTCGTCAAGTTCTCTACACACACTGAGGCTCAGTCTGCAATTGGGGCCCTGCATGGCAGCCAGACCATGCCAGTGAGTAAAGCTCTCACAGACATGCAGCACACATGCACACGCAAAATTGCTTTTTACAGTTATAGTGTGGCTAAGAAGCTTACGTGCTTTAAGCTTTTTGGTGGTCTATTTTAACTGGACTAGTGATGCAACATATACCAGCAAATAATATTGAAAACATGAAAATGATGCACAAATTGAAACTTATGTGTGTTTCCTCTGATCTGCACAAACTTAACAAGACACAAACATATATTTACAGCCTCAGTCTCTCTTTGCAAGCTGGAGAAAACCAAACGTTTTTGGTGCTGTATAAGCTTCTGCATAATGCTGCACAAATATTTCACAACTCTGTATATCCAGTTTGATTAACCTTATTTATATATTTTTCCTCACTCCTCCAATGTTCAGTATGTTGAAGGTCAAGATGTTTATGCTGACATGAAATTTGAGAAATGTAAAGGTAGTACTTCTTCAATGTACCATCAAATACTGATGGCATTGTTTTCTATCAATGTGGTGCATGAAGGAAACACACTGGATCTGTTTGAAATATCAAAAGGAGAGAAACTGCAGGGGAAATTTAAAATACTCTAGTCAAAGAAACGTCCCTTTACAAAAAATAAGATATAAAATATAAAAAAGGTAATTAGTATGAACTGGAATAACAGTCACCTAACAGACTACAGTTTCACAGAAAGCATAACACAAGATAATATTTACCTAATATTGATACAAATACAGTATCAATTTTGCCTCATATAGTGCCAGATACCATATAGTGGAAGAAAAAATACAGTACATCCCCCTTTATAACACAATTAGAAATATATAACCTAAAATATAGAAAAGAATAAGACATAGGTTTTAAAACCCAAAGTGTGGCCTGTCGTTCTTCTGACAGTACTAAAGTAGCATTTAACCTGTGTGCGGTGGGTTACGTGACTGCACTGCGTAGGCAGTCACGTAACCCAGTCTAACTTAAGTCAAGTTTAAGTGGGGGCTTCTGAGGATTGGCTTTTCTTCACATATCGAAGATAAACTTGCTTTCCTATCGAAAGATTTACTGGTTTTTAAAAATGATACAATGTATTATAGCAATTTATGATATATGAAGGTTGCCTCTGCGTGTCTACCAAATCCTTATTGAATATAAAGCTTTGAGTGTTTGCTAGATCAGACCTATTGAACATGGACACAGTTGGTGTCACATCTGCCCAGCAGCGTTGGACTTTCAGGTAATTTCAGGAAAACATAGGCTGCGGGCTTATAGATACAATACTAACGTGTCGATCTGCCCATCTTACCATGTTTTAGTTGTAAAGAGTCAAACAAGAAGGCTATTTAAAAGATTAAAAAAAACTTACATAATATCTCCTTAAAATCTGGCAACATTTTGAATGTCTGTTTGGAAAATGTTGGCCTCAATCAAACATCAAAGCTGTTTTTTGAATGCATAACGTGCACAAACATTTGGAGTGGTTACACAGGACTGTAAAACAAAGCTTAAAAGTTGGGTTTGTGCGTAGAACTAACCACTTTGGAGAACCTCGATCTGAAACACAACCAAAATTGTGGCTTAGATCTGTGCAACTTAAAATATTTATATGAATTCTGGAGTATTTTGATATAAATGCATGATAAAATATTTTTTCTGCAGAACAACACATTGATGCTCCAATAAAAGTGTAGGATGTAATTCTCCACCTGCTGCTCCTGTTGCATATCTTCTCTTTGTATTTTGTTGTGCTCCCGATTCTCCTAAGCCTGCGACAAAAATATTTCAGTGGAACATTTACAGATTTCGAGATCCATCAAAGTGATGTGGGCATTGCTTCTGTGAGCAGGATTACCTTAATATAATATAAAGAATATAAATTTTCAAGGAACAAGCCAGTTTGAACACATTTGTATTCAGACATTTAATTTTTTTTCTACAATTTCTTGTGTATTATCAAAAATTCTGCAAGAAATTTAGACCTGCACATCAAATTTATATTTTATAAAAAATAGTTGTTGCTGTATCTTCAATTTAATCTTTCAAAATAAAAAGATTTATAGTAAAATGCCATATATGGCCATAATGATTTTATATTAACTGGTTTATTCATCTCCAACTATATTAGTCAGATATTCATAAAGTTTCCAACTTTGAAAACTGATACATGCAGGAATCCTTTCCTCTGTCTCTTTCATTAGCAAATTACTTAAGAGAACACCAAGCCTATAGCCAGATGAAACTGATAAGAGTCATAATTGAATTTTGGATGAGTCATCAATCAGCAGTTCTGTTTGCATAATCTGTGAATAGAAATCCAGTGAGACATCACGTTTGCTCGTTATGTAAGCACTCTGTCCTCTAAATTCTCTCTGCATTTCATTTAATCTGAACCCACAAACACAGATAAAGCTCTAGCTCTGGTTTATATGTGGCTGATGTTTAGTCATCGTTCCTGTAGACCTGTGGGTGTCAAACTAAAAGCTACTAGAGCTGCACCTGGAACGTGACAGAAGTTTCTCCCCATGGCATTTAGAGGGAGGATGTGGAGTTACACAGTAGGCTGAAGTACAGAGTGCTATGTGTTTACCCTGGTCTTACCTTTCTTAGCTTATAAGAGAAGCAAGGACCGTGAACTCTTCTGACCCTGTGTCACAGGTGTTGTGTTTCACTGTGTGATTTCATTATTAATGCTTGCAGCGTATTGGGAACAGAGAAAGTATGTTGAGGGGGGGTCAGTAGAAGCCAGCTGTGCCATCTTGGCACAACTTCCGAGTCAATCTAAGTGCAAATGACTGCTGGTCATAAGGAATGCCTCTGAATGGCCATTTTCCATAGATGCCCTCCTTTTGTGTTGAGCTTTCTGCCTATCTGTGCTAGCTCTCTGCCCTCGCTCGTCTCTCTTTGGCAGTCTCTTGGGATATTAAGGAATAGACTTGTTTACTCCACCTTTCACCACATTGGCTGCTGAATTATTCATCTAACTATAAGCAGGGTGCTGAAGGAAAGGGCGGGGAGGAAAAGTCGGGGGGAGGAGGTTGGAGGGGTGTGCAGAGGGAGAATGAGTGAATGGACAGGATTTATACCTCCTGCCCCTCGTAAATTGATTATAGAAATCTGATCAGCATCTCATATCCTGTGGATGGGAGAGGAGAGGGCACAGTTGCCTGCCTTGCAGAGATTAGCGGGCTGCCATGGACTGTTTTGCCACAGCAGGGCAGCCCTATTCACAGGAAAAAGTACATAAATGTGGCAAAGATCTTGAGAAAAGACGGGGGGGCATATTCTGTGAGATTGGCACTGCTGAATCACACCTGCAAAATATATTTGTGCACAAGAAAAACCGTAAAACTTGTATCTCAACTTTTGACTGCTCTAGAAGCGACTTCGAAAAATAAATAGAAACACGGAGAAGAAAAGATGTACAGCGTGTCTAGCTTATTACTAAACAATTTCTCATTCTTCAATATAAAAGACTAATAAAACTGTGCCACTAAATTAAATGTGAGCAAGTAGCTAGATGTGTATGTGTGCGCACCCTGCATTTGCTGCCACTTCAAGGCTATGGCTGAAAGCCAGATTCAAACAGATGAGAATAAATAATGCTCAGCCAATAGCAGCTGTGGCCAAGGTGTAAAAGTGCATTGCATGCTAACACTGCAACCAGACATGGCAGGTTTATAGATCAGCTGCCAGTCCCGAATAGCGTGAACACAGGCTTCTTAGAGTTTATGAGTGTGCATAAATACACGCAAATGTGTATGTGGATTTGTGTGCATAAGTGATTGTGTGCAAACAGATGTGCTGCCACTTCCTCACCAGGGTCAAAGACTTCTGACTGGTCTTATTTTTCAGCTCAAAGGACTCAGGCAGAATAAATTTGTGCTATTCATTTATAGCCATGTGTATGTCACATGTATTTTATTTGCATTTTGTTTGAATTTGGATAAAATAGAAAAAAAAGCTTGAAGTGTGCATGCATACTGTGATTTGTATTCCTAATCTTACCTTTTGAACTTTTAAAAAAAATGTCAACATTAACTGGTTTAAACACATATAGTTTTGATTAAAACAAGAAACAAAAACACCACATCATTTTTTTTATAATTTCAAAGTAAAAAGAAGAAAGTTATTTTATTTTTCTGTAAATAAAATTGAAAGTTTGAGTGCATCACAAACAAAGTCCAGTAGAGGTTCTTTTTTACTTTCTATATATAAAGAATGCTATTGTGCTGTTTTTTATTTGGAAAACAGTCCTGCCAACAAATCCACTTACCTGAGCTTTTAATCACTCCAGCTCCTCTAATTTTACAAGCTCAAAATTTTTACTCCTCGGATAAAAGTTTTACTGGTTTAGACTGTCTGTCTGTGGTATTTTGCTTATTAATGTTCTCTGACAAACCTTTAGGGGCATCACAGAACAGCTGGATTTGTGCTGAGGTTAAATCATAACCAAGAAGAATTTGTATTCTAATTAGTTAGCGTCCGAGGTGATTGACTTTTTTATTTTTTCTATTTTTTTTATTTTGCAGTGTCCATTACTCGATCTAAATACATTTTAGATAGAGTAAAGTTAAAATAAATTGAAATCATACATCATCTCATGATTAAATACGACTCAGCGTAAGTGTTTATATACAGTCCTATTGTAATAAATTGCAAACAGTGGTTGGCTTTACAAAATGTAAAGCATGTTGACTTTTGCGGGGAAAAAAACATCTATGAAAATAAATTAACATTCAGCAGTAGTGCCTGGTGAAAAAAAACTAATGTAAAAAATGGACGTGTTGACAAAATTATTCACCCATATTATTTGAATCTGACAAATGTAATTATTAGTAAAAATTCTATAAAATTACCAATGAAATCAGACATAACAGAATCATAAGAAACTGAAAGGGTTTAAAAAAAATTATGGTAACCTTAACATTTTGTTGCACAACCCTTTGAGGCTATCACTGCAAATGAATAATTCCTTTAGCTTTCAATGAGGCATCTGCTCCTCTCAGCAGGTGTTTTGGCC